GCAAAACATTTGCCAAGGATGCATTAATTTATTTTAAAATATATTAAAACGATAATGATTTGTGAGGGTGCTGAAGCTGATCACATTAGGAGCCCAACACTTACAGAACAAGCTAAAAGAAACGAAAATAAGCTATACTTTACAACACAGGTGGTCAAAGTATGGCCCCTGGGTAATTTATTTGCGGTCCACAAAAATGAATTAAAAATCCCTGTGTGTGCGGCCTGACAACCATTCATGGCTAGAAAACACCTTGTTTATTAAGGCCTGACACCGATTATCTGCAAAACGTAATATTAAAACTGAGCATAAAGTGGCATAAAAGTGTATATAAGGTGTTTGAAAGTGCACTGGAAACATCAATGTTTGGATGTGGCCCTCAGTGTTAAATAACTCCAACTATTTTTATGCCCACTCCCTGAAATAACCCTAAATAAGGACATCAAGTGGGACAACAATCTTAGGGGGCGAAAGGATTAGAATTTCCAATGTGTAAACATGAATAACGTACGCTACGGAAATTAAATAGTTAATGATTTTGAATTGGTATTATCATTGGCAAGGTTTTCCCTGGTTCAACAACTTTTAGAGTACAGCATACAGAATGGCAAATTGAAGTAAAAAGGCTTTAAGCTAATCATAGTAAACCGTAACCTTAACAGTTAACTTGGGGTTCGTTTCTCAGAACTTTTGCCAAGGATGAATCAATTTATTTTTAAATATATAAATTTACGACAATAATTTATGAGGGTGGTCAACTAAGCCAAAGCTGATCAATCATTAGAGGACACTCAATACTTACAGAGCAAGCAACATGTGGTGGATTCAGGATGTGGCAAAAGGGGTACTCCCAAAAAAATCTCTAATTAAGTGTGAAATCACTTAAATAAAAGTTTGAAAGGCGGTTTGGCATAGAATTTTACTTTCATCAGTTTATGAGCTTCGTAATTTGGAGTTCGAGCTGCGTGCTGACCATTCTCGGCCGGCTGTGCTTAGAATATTCCTGCTATGTACTGTCGACAGGCTGTGAAGTGGTTCGCGACAATAACAAAATTATGCGATGCGGCTGCTTTCACCATCAATGACGCCAAACTTTGGTCGCCTACTGACTAGATAAAAAAAAAACCCAGGGTTGTATAATTATAGTAACATTCCCCTTATCACACATCCTCGTCTGCTGTAATATATAATTAATGAATACTATTACAGTGTAATGTGAATTAACAATGCATAAAAAGAAAAAACACATCTTATTCCACTTTATGGAAAACCAATATTGGTAGACCAAAATTGACTAGACAAAATTAGTGTCAACAGAAAAAAAAAATCAATACAATTATATAACATAATAGATAAAAAGTTGAATTGTCCAGTACAAATATATAATGTTTCTATGCCTTGATATCAAAGAACACAAGAAAAAAAACCAATAATAAAAATATAAACTAAATTATAGTCTGGAAGAGCAAGGATTTTTTAAGCTCATTTGCATATCACTACTAATGATGAAACCATCGCCTTGGCAACCAGCTTTGTAATGACTATGGAGATGGACGTCAGCAACATGGTCAGGATTTACATGGCAATGACACTGCTAATAATAAGTCGGAAGAATTTATTGTTAATATCCGATGTTAATTATCTTTCTAATAAGAATCTTCAAAGAAATTTCATTTGTTTCTAAACAAATGAAATTTAAATATATATGTTAGAAAAATAAAGTGTAAATCACTTATAAATGGTTTCTATTTATAGGATCTATCAAAGGCATAAGTTCATTATCATAAACAATCTCAAGCTAAAGGTAAGCTATGAAAATAAATACATTAATTTAGTTTCTCATTTTAACTCAATTTTAATGATTTGTCAGTCCAAAAACAAACAAAAAATCTTAAAACAAAATATATGTTCTAAATATACATACTAACTGCACACTAAAAATTACTAAATTCACCATGCATCACAAAACAAATTTAACTTATTATGGTCATACACGATTAATGGACTTGTGACTATTACACGGATGCCTGGTAAAGTATGAGTTGCAATATGGCAGCAGATCCAAGAATACAAAATTAAGTGGCAGCGAGACCTAGCGATACAAAATTGCACCGTATGTCTATGGTACTTTTAGATGTTCGAAAATGACACGCTAAGACTTAAATTTGAATGTTACCTTCTTTTTTTAACCAATATTTTTGTTTAATTTTTAAAATTGTTGGGACAGACCCGGGCCACTGTCCTCTGAATCCACCTCTGCAACGAATGCGTAAACAGAAAAACATATGGAAACCGAGTGCCACAGATATGTTACAATGGCGAATCCTGCAATTCAAAATAGGAAGGGGGCCAGGAGGGACTTTTACAGATAGTATGGCTGAGGTAAGAAAAATTTTGATTGTGGCACCTCTAAATGGTTGGATATGACACTCTCTGAATATAATTTTCTTTTTTCCTTAATTTTTTATGTTGAAAAATTCACCCTTGGATCAGCACAGTGTTAGATAGGAGAAGAGGAATAATGAAGAGAAAGAATTGGATTGGATTGGATTGGAATTATTCGGTGTAAAACCAAGGATAGCCCACGAAAGTCTAGAAGAAGAAGACTTATTTACAGTGGGGTTCTTCTGGTGGTGATTGGGCAGTACACCGGGAGACAATCCCCCACTCTTTTCCGAAGAGTGTACTGCGTTCTTTAACGTGCACATGGGCTATAAATGCACACAGGGCCAACGGCTTAAACGTCTCATCCGAAAGACGGTGTACTATTTTAACTTGTATTTTAGCCCTCCAGCTGAAACACAAGGAAAGGCAGCGATGAGAATAGAACCGGGGACCTAGAGATCTCCACGGTTCAGCGCACACACAGTGGCTACCACCAGATTAGCCGACTGAGCTAAGCTGCACTCAACTGATTAATTAAAGGTAGAGTAATCAAGAGCTTGGACAATTTTAAAAGATAAACTGTTATCTGATTTCAAAGAGAGTAATGTGAGAACCATAGCAAATTCTATTACCTGTTGAGTGAAATGTAAAAGTTTAATATAAAATCATCTTCAGTGTTTGAAGTAAGCAAGTTCTGCTTTGGGGAAGAGGGTGGCGATGTTGCAATAATAAGAGATGATGCCAGCAGGTGGAATGCCTGGTCCAGCTGTTGGACAGCCAAGGTAAAATTTGTCAAGGTAAATTGAAACATGTTGGGGCTAAGGTGGGTGTGGACTCTGGCCCATCTGTCAGGGAACGATGGACCACCTGTTTTGGAAAATCCGGTGCCATCCCTGGCAGTAATTCAGGTGCTGATTTTAAGGAAAACTGATGGTAAGTTTGAAGCTAAACAAAAAGTAAACTATGCTAAACAGGAAACCGTAACTCTAAACATGGATAACAATAATCAAAACAGAAGTGGGACAACAACCATGAAAGTGAGCATCTTAACACACACACATATCTTAAAAAGAAATTTATTTTAAAATCAAATATAAAAAAATATAATATAAATAAAATAAATAATAAAAAAAAAATTTAAATTAGTGCTAATGGCTTTTCTGTCTTTTTTATATATATAATTTGGTTATTATATATTAATGCCTGCGGCACACAAGGTAGATAGTTCTGAAAAGATCTGCTGTTTATTTCGTTATTTGTAATTTCTTACTTGGTGTATATATACAGCACATTTTCTTTAGGTTACCAAATTTTAGGTTTTTCCCTAGTCACATGCCTAAGTGTTGCTGCCATATTGGCACAGGAGCAGGAATCCCTAAGGCTGGGTGAAGAGAAGCAATGCAGATAAAGTGCCTTGCTCAATGACACATGCAAAATGCACAGCGAGGGACTGAGACCAAGACCTCAAGTTTGGCAAACCAAACCATTCCCACTGTGTTAAACTGCTTGCGTTTTTGGTTATGTCTAAATGCGATGAGCCCATTTGTTGATTAATTCTAATTTTTTTTCATTTCTAAGTAAAAGTATTCTATTAGTAAATATATGGCGAGTTGGATGGCTGAGCGGTTAAGGCAGGGGCGTCGCAGCATACAGCCACACTCGCCTATGGTTATGGCGGTGGAACAATTGTTCTCGAAAAAGGACTATAAACCGTAGGCACAGTGTATAATTTGGCTAATGTCACGAGGACCCCCAAGGGGAGAATCAAGTTACTGTAAGAGCTAGTCCACATCTCAAGTGCTTTGAGAGCATTTCAGTATAAAGTGCTATATAAATCTTATATAAATCTGACAGCATTACATGTACAGTAAGACTTGTATATGCTATAGTGATTTTTAGTTTTCTTCTTTTTTTTTTTTATATTAGCATGTGAAGGAATGTTGCAATTGCAAATAAGCCTTTACATTAACACTCTGCCCGCCAAACACGGAGATCTCCATGTTTCAGGTTCTTTAACAAAATCCGATAGATGGGTTAATTACAGACATGTACTAAACAATTTGAACATTATATTCAGTCTGGACCATAAGTATTTCACTATTTGTTTGATTACATTAGCGTAGAGCGGTATTGATTTACTTTCAGGAAATCGCGATTATCTCAGCGTTGTGCGAAATTGCGTAAATCTACTAAAGTGAGTCATTTTCATTTTACTGTTACGGGTCACAGATTGTGATAATAAAGTGTTTGGTACCATTGTAAAGCTAAAATGTTTGTAGTTCTTGTAGTATTCATTACATGTAAATCTGATCACATATGCACTCTCAACAAGCTTCGGAAAAGTGTTAAAATTTCCTAAAAATCTGGCGGTAGCTGACACTATTTTATCAAACTCCTGGCGGTCAGAGTGTTAACCAATGATTTTTCATCTTTTCACCATCCGTGGGAACATCATGATACCAGAATTGCATCATGGACTTTGTGCATTGATTGAGTGATTTAACATTTAGCTTTAACATAAAAGAACAAAATCTAGCTACGAGCACAATCTAAAATAGCCACAGAAAATACCACAGAAACTGACGCTATATACACAGGCAAATCTTTTCCCCTACCTGCTGCGACCTCTCGACCTGTCCCGATAACCTCTTGGTGGGGTTCGAGATCTGTCTCTGCAACAGAAAACGACACGTAAGTCATTCTCCTCCGAGTTACAAATATCCTCTTCCTCAACTCTGCTCTATGTTTCTTGGTCTCAATACATCTTGTTAAACTGTCGCCTACTTTACTTTAAGTCTTTAGATTCATCTGATTAATATTTAATGCTTAAAATGTATGTAGTATGTATGCTTGAAAGAAAAGATTAAACGTTCGACACATTTGAAATTTATCTTTAAACCAAATGTGTAAACTTAGCCAGATCTAGTGTGCATAGAAGGCAAGGAAAAGGAGATATAGTTTTTGAGAAAGAAATAACATTCAGTGTATGAAAAAAAAAATGTGCAGAATTTCATCTAGCAGGGTATACCATCCAGCCAACAAAATGGCGATCAACTGCTGCACTTTCACTTGTGTTTCTGCTGGTATTAATCTTGATGATTTTGTTTTTAAAATATAAAATTAACTGCATTCAAATGATAGTAATATTTTAAAGCATTTAGAGGTATATACTTCAAAATGTTCAATATTATTACTTTGAGGTGGCTAGAAAAGGTCTAAAACCATTACAAGAGGTCCACCTCATCATCAGCAACAAATTTCCCTTCCTCTACAAGATATAAAAGCAGCCCTTAAGAGCACAACAAACAAATACTCAGCTCAGCTAATAAAAATACCAAAAAAGCAACATCAGAAATTGTTTTTCTCTGCAGAAAATGAACAAATCCCTTTCAACAAAAATCGTCAGAAAAAATAATACTTGATAAAACAGAAAAACAGATCTAACTGACCCTAAAGGTCTGAAATAATCCACTTTCGAAAAAACGTCATCCTACATAGGCTAGCTATTATATTGTTCATTCTCACTTACCTTGATCTGGAGCGAGATTTGTGTTTTGGTGACTTTGACCGCCGTGGTGACCTATCCCCTCGTGACTTTTCAGATCTTCGTTTTGGAGATCGAGATACTCTTCTTGGCGTTCTTGATCTTTTACGAGGAGATCTAGACCGGCGTCTTGGGGTACGGGATCTACGCTTTGGTGTCCTAGACCTTTTCCGCGGTGACCTTCTTTTCGGAGGGGATGGGGTGCGTCTACGAGACCTGGACCTCTTGCGTGAACGGGATCTACGACGTCGTGGTGGTGTTCTTGAACGATGCCGACTCCTAGAGCGCCGACGTGAACGGGACCTTTTACGGGAACGGGATCGACTTCTTCTCTTACTACGAGATCGACTCCTCTTTTTCTCTTTTGTCGAACCTTTGTCGAACACTGTAATTGAAAACATGAAGAGCACAAATTCATATTGTGGAAAATATTTTACAAAGAAATCATCAATTTTATTCAAGCGGATCATACGATAATCTCCAACATTATTATATCGTCCTAAAGTTGTCACGGCTAATCAAAAAAGCACCTTTGCCTTACCTGGATCAATGGCCGCTTGTATCAGGGCCTGAGCATCCCTTACTCTCTTCATGGCCTCTTCCATTTCTCTCTGGGTAGTTTCATTCGATTTGGTAGGTGGCTTCACAATTGCATTATTGGAATGGTTGATCCTAAAAAGAAAGAAAAAATGTTGTCACTCATTTGAAAGTTATAATACTGTACATATAAATATGATATATCGACCTGTGACAACATTACATATACAAGCATCATTTGGCTGGGCTTTTGGTTATAAATGTGAGTGCACTGAAGCATGGAAAGAAGGTGGCTGGTTCAAATCTATGGATGAACTTGTATTTCAGCAAGAGGGCTGAAATTCAAGTTAATACTGGTCGAAAGTGTTTTGAAACTGTTATTAAGTGTCAATTTACCCTAAGAGAGATGAGTGGAAAAACTTCACTCCTCAAATAACACCCTCATGAGAGTTAGCCTGGATTAAGGAACAATGTCAGGCCTGGAAAATAACTTTTTTTTTTCATTCATTACTTTTTATTAGAGTCAATTGGGGGTGGGGTGGGGGTTGGATGAACATGTTTATTTGAAAAAGGAATAAATGCCCCGGGGCGTTTATTAAGGGAGGCAGTGTTTATTCCAAATGAGGCTCTGGAGGGGGAGTTTAATCGAGGGGTGGGGGGAGTTTATTAAAAGTGGGGGTATTTATTCAAATATATACGGTAATTTATTAATTTCCAGTAAATTCATGTAAGCTGTAGTTAATATCAACATGTTTACTAAATTCAATCGTACTTCAGAGGGCGTCCTCCATGCATCACACCGTTGTAAGTTAAAGCTTTGGCTACAGTCATCTGATCGCTAAATTCCACAAATGCGAACCGAGTTGGTTGGGTCTCATCTCCGGCCATGCGTACATACTTGACCTCTCCGATTTGCTGGAAAAAGGTCAACAGCTGCTCAGCAGTCACCTGTATAAAAGTGTAAATTTTAAAATGTAAATGAAATAACATTTTGCACTAATGCACTACTTTTCCATGGAAATCGTGTTGTGGTTGTAGACATCCTATAAATCAATTTATTTTTCAATCAATTTATATTCAGTTTTTTTTTTTTTTTTTTAATTTTGTCATAATCACTCAAATAAGTTGATAAGTGTGCTAATGATATCTAAATGTTGAAGTTTGGATTCATGAATGTTTAGAAAGAATTTTAAAGCCAGGTTCCAGAGAAAAAAAAATGATATGTTGTAGAACTGACTTTTCACAAATAGCATATTTGATGAAAAACTCAAAAGCAGTTAATGAGATCAGATTGACTGATTGTTAGATTAAATTTCTTAACCTCTGTCTCCAGGACAATCAAATTATAATTTCAACAAAAACATGTTAACTTAATATGGTAATGATAACATAACATCATGACGATGTATAGGCACATCATATCTATATATGGGCATACAACAGTTTTTTTTGTCAAAGAAATTTGGTAGACTGAACAATGATTTGTAGTATATTTTAATGTGCCACATGGGTATTTGTGCATTAGTAAAAGTGTTCACATTTTCCTGTAATACAATTGACACATTCCACTAGGTTGGTCATGTGACGTATAGTGGGTATCATTTGTAAACATGCAGCGCGAGCAACACTCTTTAATAGGAAATCCTACAGCTTCTTTGGAGTGCTTGTGCTATAATGCACATACTGATGTTGAATACGCTTGGTGGAATGCCAGTAACTACACCAAATTGATTGGAAATTGCGATTCAGAGTTTTGCCATAATAAATGGTTTGCTAATCCTCCAAAAGACACTGGCCCCAAATATTGAGATTTTTTTGAGAAATGCTAGGCCTAGGCCCCCTGCATGTCTACAGTTTGTTTAGGTATGCACAAGAGTCTTCCATCCGCAACTGCGATTTTGACATGCTACGATTTCTAAGATAGCTTAGGTTTATGAAGGATTACGTAAATTCAAAGGCGTACAAAGAACATTGAATGCAAGAATAAGTAAATAAACATTACTTTAAACAATCATAGTGCCTTTCTTCGTCGTTATTTCTCACGTTAATGGTGAGCAGATATTTTCGAACCATAACATTTACCCTTTCCTATATTACAACACCGATCGCACTGTAAATTCTTCATAGTAATACCCACTATATATCATGGGAACGGCTGTAAACAAACCTTGCGGAATCTACCGGTATATAAAATATCAAGATCAGAATACTTACAGAAGAATCCAAGTTTCCAACATATATTGTTCGTCTAATTTCTTCGATCTTCGATGGGTCGACGTTGGAGAGCTGAGGAGGCTGTGGTAAGCCTAGTGCCGCAAGTGTTGCATCAAAAGATGTGTTACTGCCTGCCGACTACAAATACAAAATGGAGTTTAAATTTAAAGAAGGTATAATTATGTAGTTAGAATAACTGTAGAAATTCTATATCAAATTTGAATTATCTACTGCAAATTAAGAAACTATCCATTAAATTTACCAAAAAAGTCTAAACAGTCTAAAAACATTAGTGGCAAAGACAAGCCAAACCAGTCACTTGAGATAATGGCCAAAACATGCCGGAAGCCAAAATTGTTGATGTCTATTTTAATTACACTAAACTAAACTTTATATATCTATACATAATGCTATTCCCCATTTTTATTGTTCAATAATTTTTAACGATTTGGTAATAATTCTTTCTGCCTGAGAAATGCCCGAAATCTTAAACTTTGAATGCTGATTTCTCAAATTTTGTTCTATAAACAGTTGCATGTTTAAATGTAACTTCATAAATGTCAAATTTAAATGATTCTTTTACCATTTCATACCTGTAGCTCTCATTTTACTCTTTTATATTATAATATTAATAACAAAAATTAATTTTTGCGATGAGTGACTGGTTTGGCTTGTCTTTGCCACATTCGTTAAAGGCACATGTATTTGCTACTTTAAATTTTGTACACTGTATTTCCTTGCTCATTATATAAACTGTTAGGCTCCCCGATATAAAAATGAAATTGGGGAAATATTATCCTTGTCAATTTAAATAAGGTTGTCCACTATCTTACGTATTCATGACAAATACATGTAGCAGTAGCTGTAGAAAACTGAGGGTAATAGACATTTTAGGAGTGGGTGGGTGATAACATTGGTAAACTCTAAATAATAAGAGTGGATTTTCAGGATGGAAAAGTGGGTTAATAAAGGTGGGTGGAGGGCCATGAAATTAGCTTTAGACTGGGTAGAAAAATTCAAGGCTGGTTGACCACACCCACTTCCGACATAACAACATCCCTGATTCTACCGAATAAAGGATTTAACAATTTTAGGTTCTCAATTTATTATTATTTAAATATTAATTAGTGAAAAAAAAATGATGTGTTTTAAAATGTGTCTAAACATCAATTTATAACTTTAATTTGATATACATCTGCAGCATTTGCCATTTATAAAGAGAAAATTTTGTCAGAGTTGAATAAAACAGGTTTTTAAATCACTGTGGAGCTCCTTTAAGTGTGATATCCTATTGAAAATTAAAATTGAGATGTATAATGACAAAGAAAATGGTGAAAGAAAATGGGAAAAAATACAAAATACTATTGTAATAACATAAGAAAATGTAATAATGAACATTGGTCAGATAGTATATTTGTAGAAATGACACTAGTAAAACCATTTATTACAAATACCAAATATGTGTAACTTTATCAATTATTGGCCTAATTAAAGGCTATAAGCAAAAAATAAAAAAAATAAATAAATTAAAAAATAAATAAATAAATAAATAAATAAAAAATAAATAAATAAATAAATAAATAGATAAAAAATAATGTATTTTGTATTTGTAGTACAAATGTTTTCACTTCTAGAAAAAA